TCCCCTTGAGCAAAAGGCCAAGGAAGTCACAGCATTGCTTTGTATCAATCAAGTCAAAACAATCCATCAATTAGAGTCAGAGGATCAATGGCTAATTGAAAACTGACAAGATGGCACGTAGTGTCATAAAATTGAACCACAATCTTTTCTTCCAACAAGATATGGATTCCTCCATTTCCTGATAATGAACATGCATAAAACCAAGAAGAAATCCAAAAATGGTTTGAATTCCAAAAACACTAGAGCAAGAGGAAGAAGATACATTAGTGAGAAATATGAGATAGATTGTTATACAATGAGATAAGGAACTCACAGGAACAGACTTTGATTTTCATCAACAAACGCGGTACCGATGCTGGATGAGCTTTGGGTTCAGCTGATCAGATTGACTATTGAAAGATGAGAGCTGTGAAATAGTACATAGACTAAAAGCATTCCTACAAAAGCTCCAAGAACTTGAGCTATGATCTGAGGTATCATATGACCGGCAGGGATCTGTTTTAATAACTGTGGAAAAATATCAAAATTAAGAGACAAGTTTAAACTTAGAATTGAGCAAAAAATTCTTGTGGTAAGACCAATAGTCACAGCCCCCAGCTACTAGGCTCTGGTAGGCCAGAGATTACCTTGGCTTCATGAAAGATTCCTGAAAGATTCAAAAAGAGTTGAAACTGACTTCAACATAATATCATATGGGGCCATTTGCCTGTCCAACTACCAAAATTCCAATGTCATCATATGATGTCATAAGTCTGTACACACCTGCTCCTGTATTCACAGATCAAGAATATATAGTCTATTGAACTTTATCCTGTAAATTGACTGAGTTATTGAGGTTTGAAAAAAAAATTACAGATAAAAAATACTATTTTTATACTATACATAAGACTGGGATCTTGAATATCTTAAATCTTTATCAACATTCATATAAAATAATTTTTATATTCCACTGTTCCATGCTACACTTGCTGCATGTAGCTAGTTGGGTAGATCTAGACTCATCTTTAGATGAGGCGTGCCTCTTGTGTTCCTCGAGACGTCCACCCAAGAGTGCACTCCTTACTGTTTAGTCAGGGGTGCACGGGTTGGGGAAGTGAAGGGCCCCGGCCTGGGGTTTGGTTTTCTTGAACCAAACTGGATGGTTTATGTAAACCAACCTTCCCCGGTTGGAGTCCTCCATCTCGGGCCCGCCCTCCCCCCTATTTGGTGTCTGGATCTCTTTGGCCTTGTGTGTGTGACCAGCCATACCCCATCTCAGGTGCCTGACCGGGCGTCTGGAGCCTCCGGGCAAACACCCCAACATGCTCGCAGGTGCCTGAGTACATGCTCAATACGCCGCACCTCACTTCTCACATCTTCTCATACTTACTGATGATCTATTTCTTATGCGCCATTCCCCATTCAAACCTGTGATAAGGTTTGGCGTCTATCTCAGTGATGTCTTGCTTCATTGGTCAGTCTCACCGTGTCCTGAACTGGTGGTCTGATTTTCTCAGTGTTGTTGAGTCAACTTCATTTTCATTTTGCTAATCATAGCCATTCCATCTTCTCTGGCCAATTTGGTTCATGGATCACCTCTAACAGGTTTATTGTGTCATCCAGCTCTGCCTGGTTGTAGGCTTTCAAATAGTGTAAGTAAGTTAATGACGTCCACCTCCCTTGTTTCGCTATCTTCTCCATTGGTGCTTTCATATTAAATCTCAACAACGCTCGCCCTACACGGAACCAATGACCACTCCTTGATCCCAGGCTAGCTTTGCCCCAAACTTTCCCAACTCCATTGAGAAATCTCGCTTTCAATAAAGGTCGTATCTCTCCTTTCTCCACTGTGGCAAATAAAATTGTGTCTGGGTCGCGGTCTCTGGTTTGTTGTCTCCATCTTCTTATCGCGACCACTGGGTCTAGGATGTGGTATTGTTGTTGTAGGTAGATCTTTTGTACCTTGCCCGGTTTTGCAGTTTTGGCTTTCCTGAGGTGTAGGATGACGTAGTTCTTCCTTTCCTAGATCCAAATTCAACATGCTTCCGTAACAATGCACCACTCTCTACCGATGTCCTTAGCAATTCACCTATTCTATTCATTCCCCAGAAGGCAACCAAGGCTATGGTACCCATGATCTGAGTTGTCTCTGAACCTTCATATGTTACCTGAATTAGGTCCAATAGCTAACAAATTTTGATTCAATTTTTCTTTGTTACCATTGCTTTTTCTTCCTCTACTTGTTTTGTAGCTTGCAGCAATGTCTTGATGACTTCTGGATTGGCTGAAGGTCTCGATGTGTGTCTGACAATGTGCCACGCTTGGATTCCATCAAGATATATCTTGGTAGTTATCGATGTTATTGGTCTCAATGGTCCGTCTTCTGCTTCCCTGGTACTGCTTGCCCAGGCACTGCCAGGATTAAACAGTGTCCCTAATGGAATAATGATCCCTTTTGCATTAATTGCTCAGCATTTATATGGCAAAAATTAATTATCCCAAAAAAAGCAACACATTATCCCAATTAGGACAGTGTTTAATCCTGGCAGTGAGGCGATAAAGTTGATAGAGCTTCATCCAATATTGGTGCAGCTGGATCAAAGCGTCCCAAAGTACGTTCTTTGAACTCTATAAACTTTGTCATGCCCGAACTGTAACTCAACCTGTGATCTGACGAGTATTGGGCAAACTCTGGCCCCTTCGACAACCAAACCGCCGGTAAATTTCACCATCCGGAGCTGTCGGAGAGTATCCGGCCGGTTTTTTTGCTGAAATTCCTGGAACCGGTACTTGAACCGGCTAACCGCCGGATATCCTGTATGGCAAAAAAAATAAAAAAATTGAAAAAAAATGACAAAAAAATAAAAAAATAAAAAAATGCATCCGTTTTTTGATTTGACGGTTGGTTTTTTTCTACTATCATTCCTGGAACCGGTACTCAAGCCGAATATCCGCCGGATATCCGGCTGTATGGCAAAAAAAAATAAAAAAATAAAAAAACGGCAAAAAACGGCAAAAAAATACAAAAAAAATACGCCGCTTGTCTGGCGGAAATCAACTTTTTTGACCCCCACGTTCAACTACCGAACCGGCCGGAGTAGCCGGCGCCAAATATATACTTCCAACGCTGGTTACATGAAACGGACTTGACGGATGCTCCGACGGGTACTCGACGGAGCTCCGGGGCCGGGACTCACCTTGAACTGTAACCTGATAACGTTGATTTAGCCCAGCTGCCTGCTGCCGCATGTTTTCCTACCCTTGATGCATTTTCAGATGCCTTATTGAAATGCCTTGGGAGACTGGACATCTCAATAATAATAACTCCGCGGGTGGCAAGCCTAGGTTGGGTATGTTGATTGATAACTCGGTTACTGTTCTTGCACAATCAACCTTTTCAGGTCCGGCGGAATTTCAATGTGTATCATGTCTGATACGTGTTTTGTGGAGTCAAAACCCCGAGATAGATGATCAGCTGTGTTTTCTTCCGAGACTACGCGCCTCACTTCAATGCAGGACTCATCTTCAATCAGTGAGTCTTGTACCTTGAAGTATTCCCTATTAACTTTCTGATCTCTCAATTTGCCGTTTCTGACTGCGTATTCTGTTACTGTGTTGTCCGTCAACATCAAGAATCCACGGCCTTTGACCGACATTATTTTCCTTAACATCAAGTATCCCAACTGTACTGCAACACTTTCTGCGCAGGCAATCCCCTTCCGACTATCCTCCGCTTCTCCTCTCCAAGCGTTTCACAGTCTAAACTTACACCATCTTCTTCCTATGATCACACCAATCCCGTACAATGTTGACGCGTTGCCTACCCAGCCGACGTTGATTATCTGGGAGTTGATGATTAACGGTCTGGGTTTTGCCGATTGGAGAGCATTCAACCACCCCCCCTGTAAGTCTTCCCTTACCACACCTGGGATGTCCCGTAGCGCTGATTTATCAGCCATCCATTTATAAATGTCCACAGTGTTACACTTCATTTGTGGTAGGACCATGGTGGAGTGGTTCAAACGTCCCGCCAACCGTTGGACTGGTTGAAATTGATGGGACTTCTCGGCTAAGAATTTTGTCAGTTCATCTACTCTTTCCTTGATTTTCTCTATCGGGAGTTTGACTGTTTTATCTGTGCCGTTCCAGATAAACACAAGGTAGCGTTGCTCTTCTGCAAAATTCTTTCCTTTCTCAACATTCTCCACTATTCCCATCTCTTTTGTCAGAGACAATATGTCCTTGAGGCTGACATTTGACTTGCTATTCTTTGATTTCACAAACATAGTATCATCCACCCACCTGAGCACCGCTCTCAGGGGGACACGATGTAGCATAATTGCCTTCCATGCATCTGCTACTTGCCGAAAACTTCCACATCCAGCCACCCCTCCAGATGTGATACAAGTGTCTAGCATGACCTGTCCGTCAAATGTTGAAATCATCAGAAATGGCCATTGATCAGGAGATGTTGGTACTTGACAATAGGCCTTGGCCCAGTCAAAAATAGCAAGGAGGACATCTTTGCGTAAAGTACTGAGAAAGTCTGCTACCACTTGGAAATTATCACAAGTGATCTTGAAATCTTCCTTGTCCACGCCGTTGTTTACTGATCTGATGTTTGGGTCATTTCTAGGGAACAAAAGGTCATTTATAGGTCGCGTCAATCCGTTGCCGTTGACCACAGCTCCAATGGGACTTGTTCAGAAGAATCCCAGTCTCCTGTGAGCCTCTTCTTTCAAGAATGGTCCCGCCATTCTACCTGCTGCTAATTTGATCCTGAAATTTTCTAGGATCTTATCTTTATTCCCAAATTTCTTCCACAGGCCTGCACGATACAGCTCATGTTCCCACACCTCAAGGTTCATCTCACACGATGCACTTCTCTGCCATCTAGGAGTTGTTTCTATTATGGGTGACCTAGGTGGTTGAATCGTCACGCGGAGGGTTTCAGAAGGGTAGAAGGCAAGGCAAGCGGACGGTGATGTAAGTTTCTCGGTCTTAGTCTCACAGGGTAGCTCTCATGGATCTTGACTATTGAGTCTTGTGAATGGGAATGACATGGCTAATCATATTGACTGGTATTGCATCATTATAGCTTACTGTCTGCAGGCTTTCCCTCTCCCTTTACTACCCCGGGGACTGTGACTTCTCAAACAAGATCGTTTCTTATAATCTCTTCCCCGATCACGGTAATTGTCTTGGTCCTGATACCGGTCTTTCCCTTGACCTCTTTCGTCATCTGGTTTATAGGTATTTCTTGTTGCAAACCTCTTCGCCTCTGCCTTTTCCTCGGCTGTCATGGTTCTCCACTTCAAGGAGGGGATCCAGTCCGCGGAAGACAGTTCGGACTTTACGGTTTTCAACGCGGAGGATTCCAATGGCCACTTCTTTGCCGCAGTTGTTGAGGGGGATTTTCTTGGCAGGCCTGTCATTGGGTTGACGCTAGATAGGGGGCCTCCGTTGGCGTAGGGGTTTGTATGATAAGCTTTCTGTTGGCGTGAGTCTGCCACAATTTGAACTTCCTCAAAGATAGCCGATTGTAAGTTGCTGAAGTTCTTAATCTTTCCATCGATTGTATCCCTCATCACTCCTTGTCTAATCCTTATGCAGTACCGTAATGCAATTATCCAGCCATAGTGTTCTCGGAGATCTATCACAACTGTACGGTGACCTTCGAACCTCTCTTTCAGCGTTTGCCATCCTGCATCCGCCACATATCGAATGAATAGAGTCATTGTATTGATCCAGCCTTTGAATTGCATCAGCAATTTGTCAGGTGGTGGTGATCCGCCGTGCACTCTTAATGATGAACTTCTGTCTTCTATCTTTGACTCTGTTGGGGCTTTCCTACGACTCCACTTGGCCTGGTCTCCCGCTAGGAACAATTTGTTGAATGCGGTGAGTGGAATGTATGATTTGAAGGTACGCAACCAGTGGGTTAAGACCGACGATAATTGATTTAGGCCTTTCTCCATCTCATCCGATTCATCCGCCACCAGATATCTACTGTTCTCCACCACATCTCCCTTTCTTAGGACCAATCTACCTCTCTTTGAGGCCATCAAGAATTTAACTTGTTCTTCTTCCTCTATGTTGGCCTGTGACCTCAGATTTGGCTGCTGGGAATTTGGGGGCTCTTGTCGTGTGTTGTAGGTTGGTGGTTGCCTTGCGTGCTCTACCCGTGTGCCTTGAGGTGGTGGGTGACACGAGGGAGGAGACAGTTGTCCTTATGGTGGGGATTCCGGTCAATAGCAAACTGAAGGCCGTTGGTCCCATTGGTAGTATGTTGGATAGTGAGTTGGGGCCTCACATTCTTTCTCGTATTGACGAAGAACTGATGAGCAACATTTGTAGGTAGTTGGGACTTCCGGTTGTCGAGGAGCCTCCCATTGTCTCCAAGTTGTGTACAAGTTGTAGATCCTTGGGTCTACTTTGGAGTCTGGTCTTCTTAGCAGGGGATCTACTACTGTTCTGGCTGGGAGGATACAGTTGGATTCCCTGCTTTGGTGCTCCATAAAAGGGATGTTTCCTGTACTGTCTGACGCCGACAACAAGTCTTCTGCCAATAAGTTGTAGGGGTGTGATCTTGCTAGGCCGCTACTGCTTGCCGCCGGGACTCTCTCTCCTCGTTTGTTGATGACACTCCCCTCCTGGCGTTGGAAGTATTGGTTCAAAACCGCTTCTCCGTCCATGTGGTGTCCCGCGGCATACAGTAAGTCAGCTCTCTTGTTGGCTTGGGTGGCTTCCAGGACCCAAACGCAGTCCCAAGTTCAGTGTTTGTTAAATACATTTCTTGTCTTGGACCGGTCTTTTTTCAAGTGCAAGGCTGGTTGTCAACCATCCACCCGTAATATGGGATACTTGGATGTGTTCAGCTCCACAGCTCCACAATGCATCCAACCCCCCTTCTTCAGGGATCATGGGTACACACTCACACCGGGATCATGGGCCTTCAGCCCCAATCTCAGGTCTATTCACTCAGTCCAACATATGGATAGATAATCTGGTGTTGATTGTGACTCGTTGAGATTGCTGTGTGTAGAGATGGAAGAGAGATCAAGACAAAAGGTATCAGAGAAGTTTTCCCTACCTGAGTTTGGCCTACTGAAATCCGATGGGGTGGGGCTTGTATTGCTGTAAGCTCTACCTTTCCCCTTCTCCACTGGAGGTCTCCAGAATTGATTGTTGTCGTCATCTGACTTGATTATTGGACCTTGGAGTATTTGGCCAGTGTCTTCCAGAAGGTCCTCGATTTCTGAGTTCTCTAGTGGTACCTCATCAATGTCGTCTTGGGGGATTGGAGGCGGTGCTGGTGGTCGCCCTACAGTTTGTCTTGTTGGTTCGAGTGGAGGGCACGGAGGTTGTCCCAAGGCGACTGATTTAGACCAAGTTACAGTTATGTTCGCCGCGCATTCGGCTGCTGCTCGCACTGCTTCGTCCATTGCTGAGGAATTTTGAATGTATGAAAAAGGGCTTGAATGTGTGCCACTGAAGTAATTAAGGACCAGATTTAATGATGAATTGTTAATCTTGAAGGTGGCCTAAACCTTCAGCGCAAAGGGTTCACACAGTTCAACTTTTGTGCTCGAGACTTGAGGACTTGCGGTGTGGTCTAACACCTGAGAAGTGTGAGTGGTGAGCGGTGAAAAATTCTTGCACGAGGTGTTTTAGAATGTTCCTACATTCTTCCTGTGCAAGTTTCACGGGTCACCCTTTTGTGTGTGCTCGCAAGTCCCTCATGGACTAGTGAACCACCTGTGATATGGTGGTTCTGTGCAACAATACATGTTTCTACATTTTTCATTTTTGCAGGCTTTGTCCAAAAGGCATATTTCTATATGTAATTGTGAATTCTACATGAGCAGTCCAATCTTTCCCTGATTTGTTGATTCTAGGAAGGATATGAACAAATTGATGGCAGAAACTTTTGGAAATTATTATTTGCATGCATATCAGTCTATTTGTGCCTAATTTGGGCCCTACAATTCATCACAATTTGCCTCAAGGTCAAAAAACTTCAGAAAATCCAACTTCTGTATATAATCCACAATTACATATAAAAATAATACCCGTAGACAAAGGCTGTAGGGAACAGAAATGTGGAGAAACATAGTGCGGAAAATATTATCAAATTTAATGTATATGCATATTGACAAAGATTGAAGATATTCAAGATCCCAGTCTTGTCTATCTAAAATATAAATATGTGCAACAGACTCGCATAAGTACCGTCTGATACTCTTCTGCTCCGGGCAACCCCACATTAGGTCGCTTTTGTTTCTTTTCAAGCTCAGTTTGTTAGTTTGTTTTGTGATTGTATCCTTACTTTTAAATCTCTGATTGTTTAACAATATTACTTTTGGCTTTGTTAGTTATAATGAGCTGTGCTTATTGAAACAAAAACACATATGTTTTGTTGTCGCCTTGAGATTCCTTTTGGCTTTGTTAGCAATTTGCTGTGCTTCTTGAAACAAAACCACGTACCTTTCCGTATTGCCTTGTGGACATTCTGCTTTTGATCTTGTTTTTTTCGTTTCTTGAAATACTCTATGTTTTATGTGCTTTCTTTAAAAGGCGCTTTTGTTAAGCCTATTGGGAAGTGGTTTCCTTTGCTTTATTGGGATTCACTCCCTTGTTCGAGAGGCTTTCTATCTTCAATAGTCACCTTTTGAAAGCCTGCTTTCAAAAGTCCTGTTTAGCCCTTTGCTTACTTCTACTTTCCATCCCTATAAATAGGTGCTGTGTCCCACTCGATTCGACAACCATCACCCTCCGCATCAATCTTTTGTATATATCCAAGAAATCCAAATTAACCATGAGCCTCACTTAAGACCTCATTTCACAAGATTGAAAATTGGTGCGTCATTCGGCTCCTGTCTAGCGTCTTCCTCTCGGTCTTGGTTTACTTCAACCTCTCAACCAAAGAGCACTATATCAAATAAGCACTCTATCCGAGATAATTTCTTGTGTATGTGAACCTGAATCAATCCCTGGTGCCTGATTGCCATAGCCTTTCTCCCTTTCTACCGTGGTCTTTCTTTTTTTTACTTTCTCCAGTATTTGCAGTTCATTATTTTATGGAAATGTCTTTTTATTTGACACCTGACACGTGCCAAGCCTTGCTTTCTTCCCATTGAAGCAATAATTACATATTTTATAATCTTAATTTATTTATATTTTACATGGTGAACCCTCTTGACAATGCTATTTACTGTGATGGTAGATTACAAATACAGCTCTTGATTAATACAAAGGCTATGTAAGTATATGCAGGATAAAATGATGAGAAGCAACAGCAGATGAGCAATAGCAAGTTTGACTGTCAGGTAACCTTTTGACCAATTGACATAATTTACAGCTGTATTTATTTATTCTTAATGGGAGTAGTCTTTTGAACTGTGGAAAAGGCTCACAAATAAACTGCCTTAGTTTGAGAGCTTGCCATATAAGGATTGTTCATGAATGACTTTGTTGTGAAATTATTTCCAATTTATAAACACCTCTCAATTATAATCAAGACATCATTGAGTGCTTCTGACTGGGTAAACCTTTACCTTTACAAAAAATGCCTATTCTTGAGTTTCTTTGACAAATTGAGTAACATTGTTTACTGAATCAGTCAATTACTTCCTGCCCTTATTTACAGACACACAAGCGGGGGGCCAACCTTGCGTTGTCACAGGGTTGTCCTTGGCCACATCAACTGGTATGTTATACTGTTTCCGGGTACGACTACCACATCATGGAGTTTGCTCTTACACCTTGCCTTCTCAAAGCCTACATCTGACTTGCCATCATCAATACTGGAATTTTTAGAAATGGGGTAACCATGAATTTTGCATGGTTCTTTGCAGTAAAGCATAAAACCCTACATTCACTGCAGACATTATTCGGGTTCCCCAAGTGGGCAGGGAAAAATGATTGGGAGTATGATTTGTCATAAAATGGTCTATCACTCCACACCTGAGCCATAACACCCACACTACATATGTGTAGCAGGCTCAGTGAATATGTGGTTATCATGTACATACAGTTCTGCTCAGTTATCTGCTCATCAGGACAAGTTATTCATATGTAATACATGCTGTAACTTCTTTCAGATTGAAAAAAGCTTCCAAAAGATTGACTACATACACTGACTCAATGTTTTGGTGTGATCTCATCAACTCAACTGCATGTAACACACTTTCTGTTACTAAGACATAGCTTCAACAATATTGCCTGAGCAGCTACAGAATTATATGTAGTGAATTTTTGGGAAAAAAATTTCAAAGTCGAAAAAGTTACATGTGGTATAACATGTGATTTATTTATTCTGATGGGCAAAAAACTGAGCAGACCTGTATGTACATGATAGACAACTATTGACTTAGCTTGCTGCACATATGTAGTGTGGGTGAAATGGCCCAGGTGTGCAGTATTAGATTCTTTTATGAAAAACTGTACTATTAATCATTTTCCTCTGCCAAATTGGGGAAGTTGAATGATGTTTACAGTGATTCAGGCTAGCATTCTCTTAAAGTGGGTTGGTTCAGTATAAATCACTTGTAGTATTATACCATATTCCGGCATACACTTTAATTGTTTTTGAGGAACAGAAAGAAACTAAAAAATCACCCCGTATCCCTCAAATTTCACACACTAAGAGAAAATTGACAAAGCGAAATCAGTATTATGAGTTATGTTTGCAAAGCTTAATAAAACCCATCCAAAATTGTAAAAACAAAGGAGTGGAGGCAGGTGTCTAATCCATTGACTTCAAGGATGAATCATCACAAATGCAAAAAGGTCAAATGTTTGGATTACCATAGATGCCATAACATTTAACAAAAGCATTTACACGCAATTTTTGCACATGCCCTATTGCCATAGACAGTGACTGGTATACTAGATATAATTCTTCATATGATATAAACGTTTTCCCAGTACTTTGAAACTTTTGTTGTTGTGATACTACTTCTTGCGCCTTGATTATCACACTTGAATTTATACCAACCATATATTGTTTTATTGCAGAGAACCATTGCTACACTGGCCAAAAATGCTTCTGGATGTGCTTAGGAAAATCAATACAATCAGTGTGTTTTGAAGTTGTGGACAGCTGTGAGGCAACACCAAGACAAGCAGCTTTTCACTCGATGAGAAAGTTTTGAGTAATTTGAATGGTCGCAGGTAAATTGTGGCACAGTGGGACTGTGGCGGGCATGCCCGCATGTTCTCTAGTAGTACAAAAATAGTATTTTCTGTCCGTGATTTTTTTCAAACCTCAATAACTCAGTCAATTTTCATGATAAAGTTTAATAGACTATACATTCTTGATCTGTGAATACAGGAGCAGGTGTGTACAGATTTATAATGTCATATGATGACATCAGAATTTTGGTGGTTGGACAGGCAAATGGCCCCATATGATATTGTGTTGAAGTCATTTTGAAATCTTTCTGAATCTTTCATGAATCTTTCATGGAGTCAGTGGTAGGCTCTGGCCTGCCAGAGCCCAGTAGATGTGGGGCGTGAGTAATACCTACCACTGCCAGCATTAAAGAGGTTCCCAGGTGGGAAAGTGACCTAGGCTGGGAACATGATTGAGAGTAATTTAACTATAGAAACCACAGAAAAACTTGACTTACCCTGCTCATATTGCAACAATCAGACGGCTTCTAGATTTACTAGTAGTAGTATCATCCAAGGCCTCTTCAAAAACCTTTTCAAATAAAGTGATACAGACAATCCAGGTATTAAAACAAATATGTAATTATATTCAATGGTAAGATCTTACCTGCAACTGTACTCTTGGAGAGGAGTGTTAAAAGTAGGGAACATGAAAACTCTGCTAAAAAGGTGTCCAAAACTGGACATGATTGCCAAATGGTGATAATGGAAGCAAATCTGGGTCAATGACTCTGATAGAGACAGAATCCCTCTCTGCACCGTACAGAGGGCTTGAGTCAGTGTTGCAAAAAGCATAGATATCAACATGAGGGAGGTTTAGGGTATCTAAGAATAGAATGTGATCGTGCTTGCTTTCACAGTGGAGACTCATAATAATATCAATATTACTTTTGATTGGTCAGTTTATCTCAAAGATAATCATGTGGAAATCTCTAAGGACATAAATGAAACCACGGATTGCATAATCACTCTGGATCAATGCAAATGTTATACCAATCAATCTTATACAATGTAATTCTTCCACCAGGACCAAAACAGGGACATGCAGGATCAGGGCAGCTGTCCTCAAAATGACCCTTGGTATAGTCGATCATTCATTGAATGCACCTACTACCAAAGTCTAAAATAGCTGGCTCCTTTCAAAATGGGAAGATTATGTGTTAGCAGGTAATGGCTGTCTTTATTGAAACATCTTCATTATAGACTGGACTAATTCAGGCTTCTGTCAAGGCATATTGCCCTTTCCTGCCATCTACACATGCAAAGTATT